GCTCAAGTGTCATCCTTCATAGATCAATCATCTATTGAGTATTCCGGAAATCAGGTAGAGTTTGTCCTTGGTCTTTCCTCTTCTCTGCTCTTTCATATAAATTATAATTAAGTAATTTGCTTGAAACATTGTTCTTTTTCGAAAAAGAAGTTTCCAGCTAATGTCTAAACTAAGTAAGCATCTATGTGCAAATAATTTATAAATTGTAAAACATAACAATACATTCCTTAAGAAGTTTTACTATCATATTGAAAGCTCAATTTGATCTTTTGACATGCTTCAGGCTCGCGAATTCTTTAAAGCGATTGAAAGAGAAAATGAAGTTCGCACGGAATACTCCCAGGGTTCTGACATATATCTCTCACTTGAAGACTTGAAACTAGGGAGTAAAGGAAACCTGGAAGAGCTTAATCCGGGTTGTAGGGTACAGCTAACTTTAGGTGAACCTGGATTATCCCGTTTCTCATACAAAGCTGTACTCCTTGATGCTCAGAAAGATTCTGGACCTTTCACGTATCATTGTGGTGTTTTCCTTGTCCCAAAGGTTGTATTTTCTTGGTGCCCATACAATTTATGTACAACTTGACGATTATTCAGTTTTTGAGTTGAATTTAAGCAAGTACTACGGAGAGTGGGGGAAGGTTCACTGATTATATCTGTTTCACCTGGATTAGAAATGAGTGTTTTCCTCCAGCCCAAAGACTTGAAAATCATGTCCTTTTTGTGTCTTAGTTTGCCTATATTTTTCTTATGCATAAAGTTTGTTTTATCTTTTAAAAACCTCAAATATTTTCGTAGTTGAGACATGCAAATGCAAGGTACAATAATTGATGTTTTATGGTTAGAAAGCTTGATGGTGTCCGCCTTTTGAGCCTTCTCTTCCCCTTATATATTGCATCTTTCATTAGCTTCAATTGAACTGGTTTCTGAATAAAGTTTATGTTCCAGACAAGAGCTCGTGAGTGGCTTTTTTCATCAGAAGAAGGTCAATGGCTAGTTGTTGAAAGCTCAAAGGCTGCTCGTTTGGTGATGGTAATTCTTTTTGCTCTTTGATCACTTCCATGTAAATCAATACCTTTGTCTTGTTTGTTGTTGGTTCTGCAAAGTCTTAATATAACATTATCTTTTGACTTTAGATTTTGCTGGACTCCAGTAATTCTAATGGTTCAATGGATGATATCCAGGTGGTATTCTTCTTTATTTTTTGTGCTGATAGATTATCTGTCATGGAAACAATTTGTCAATAAACTAAATGGTCTATACATACATATTTTTCAGAAGGATCTCTCTCCTTTGGTAAAGCAATTGTCACCAGGTGATTGTGACAATGGAGCTCAAATTCCGTACGCATCAATCACAATTCACTGTTACTTCTTGTATTTCTAATTTGGATACAAAAGTTTCTCTTTTTATTCACAATAACCTTCTTTGGCCGTTTCTCTTATCATGTATGTTTACCTTTTGATTTTCCTATTCATTTAATATCTGTTTTCATGTACCTTTCAACCATGTTCTGTTCTTTCTTTCTCAGCAGCCACTGTACTTTTTTGTTGGTTTCTGTTATTGTGGTTGGTATTTGGTTGTTTATACAAGTTTTCTTAGTCTAGATGTTGTTAAAAGAGTAATGGACAAACTTTTTATTGGTGAATTCAGAAATGTTCTTATTATGCTCAATGTTAATTATTACACCATGCTTCTGATGTAGAAATACATAATTTATGAGTAAGAGAGATTCAATTAAATGAAAATTAGTCAATAGTTAGAAGTAAGAATGTGCTATGAGTACATTCCCTTACCCAGGAGCATCTGTATCTCAGCCTTTTATATTAAGCCATTTTTGGTACCCATTATTTCCAAAATACATATTTCTCCCTCTTATTTTCAACCACACATTTTTCAATAAAATAATATTACATGCAAACCTAAAACATTTCCTTATTTTTTAATCACACATTATCCATCAAATCACTATTCCAAAATGCATTATTTGCCAAAAAATGGGGCTCAAGCATGCTCTAAATATTTTACATGTTCAATGTTAGTTACTTTGCAGTAAGGGTTTGACGGAGTGAAATAAGAAAAGTTCAACTATTCAACTAAGTTTGATCAATATTTGATAAATTTACCCTAAATATCCTAATTTAACTTAAATTATTTAATATTGATTATGAAGAATTTAAAAATTATTATTAAAATAATAAAACAATAGGTGACTAAATTTATTTCTAAATTTTAACATACTAAAGTTGAGTTCTTTTCAGTCATATAATGTTATTTGTTTGCTTACAAGTACTGGATTTACCACATTTAACTTATAAGCTCAATCCAATGTTATGCATGACTTAAGAAAACCACTGCTATTTATAAGCAGAAGAAGCAATATTAACTATGAGAAATGATTTTAAATTATATTGACAGATCTCTATTTCTCTCTTCAGCTATGCATGATAATAATTTATATATGGGAATGTTGTAAGAAAATAATTATCGAGTGACTGCTTGACTTCTCAATGAATATGCCTTAAACTTGAGTTTATCAATTGTGTTTATTGCAGGTTTATGACTGCAAGTGATGGAATTAAGCAGCGAAGCATTGTGCATAAGGTTCAAATATTTTTCTCGAACTGCTATTTATATTTGAGTAATGTCATCATCCAACTATCAACCATCATCTGATTTTACAGAGTAAAGGAATATAATAGTCCATGATTAATGTTGTGCATCTTTTGGATCACTATTCATTTATGATCCATCTAAAAATTGTTTTATGTTGGCATTTTATGTGAAAAGAATTAAAATTCAGGATTTATGGAAAAAAATAAAATTCAATGAACTTCCAAATGTACTAGTATGCAGTTATTTGACTTCTATTGTTCCTTTGGCGTCATCTTGGATGTGGGGTTGATTTTTTTAGTCATTCAAGCAACTTTTAGGAGCTATTTCACATTGATTTATTTGACTCTCAACTCTAATAACCTTCTAGATGATAGTGTCTGGCTATATTGTCCTTAATCATATAAATTGATTAAGAAAAAAAGTGTGAAGTCAACCTAAAAAAAGTGTGAAGTCAACCAATAGAACACTGGGGGAGAAATATTTTTATAAGACTGAATTATGATGTCAAGTTCATCTTTATTAGGTCTTTCCATCAATGAAATTTGATTTCCTGGAATTTTCTTGTCTTAGGGTGTGTTTGATAGCCTAGAAAATTAGGTGGAAAAAGAAAATGTTTTCCAATTTCACCCAATTAATGGTGTTTGATTGCAAAAGTTTTCTTGGCTTTTGTTTTTCCTACCTTTTCTAGGTACAATCATTTTATGCACATTTTCTTGAATTTGTTTTCCCACCTATTAGGTGGGAAAGCAATTTCCATCTTTTTTTTTTT